ACACACAAAATGAGTTAAATGAGAACAGAATAAAGACGATCTAAGGCATTTAATTATAACTATCGTAACATTAGTGATATTAATACGAATTATCATTGTCATTGTGATTATTATTATTACTAGTATTAGTAGTAATGTTAGTGTTATTACCAGTACTGTTCCTAATGTTGTTATTATGGCAACTCTATCATAAATAAAGGTATGACGCACAGCGCTACTCAAATACCCTTAACATCATACCTTTCTAATGGTAGACCTGAATCAACTGATTTAGTATAAATTCGTGCACACAGCTGTAATTTAGTGAAGATGAATATTTTTCTAGAAATAGTATAAAGGAATGTATGTTTAACGGTTTGAAAAATTGCAGTCAAAGAAGTGGAACAATGTTTCCCGTCTAAAAGGCTTAGAGAATGAATATTTATCTTACTCCAAGTTTGTGACTGTGATATTAGTCATTCTATCGTATTTATTTTCTACTCCTTAAAATACAAAGTCTTTTTTACCACAAATTATGCACTAAGTTATGTCTAAAGCTTGTTATTCTTATTTACACTCTTTATGATCTGTTAAGTTTTTTAAAATATTTAATCATCATTCCAAATTTTAAAGATGGTGCTTTCATTGATTGATTAACATCAGCTTTAGGAGAACTAATGAAAAGTATGAAGTACCAAACGACTATCTCACCATAATTTGAAGGCTACTTAGCAGTAGCTACCTGTGTTTTCATTGAAAGCGGAATATCGTGCATTCAGATCATGCACATATATACAAATATTTATTTTGTGATGTTACTAAAACTGCTGGATTTTCATGCTCTGCTAATTACTTATAAACACTTTCTTTCAATCCAATTTTTAATGATTTTGGATTATTCCGTTGCAAATGTTTTTCTAGTGCTTGCATATTTGTTACTATCCATATTCTCTATAATTTTCAGTCTTTTATCAAACGGAATATTATTCATTATTTTCAGTTGCTATTTATTATTTTCATGACTACTTCGGATCCCCAACGAGTGTGTTATTTGGTTATCCTCATATCCGTCTATACTCAGGATTCCAAGTTAGCACTTGCCTAGTGATGCACTTTCATGATTTTGTCAATTCGTGTCCTACTCACGTCAAACGTTTTTACATAATTTCCCCCTCAACTGGACGTTCGTTTGTTCTCTCCCACAACTGGCTGTTGCTGATCGTATCCGGTCAACGGACATTGAGTATTTTACGGAAACAATTGTTTGTAAATACTTGTACCTATCTGATGATGGCTGTGGTAATTCTCCAAGCTTCAGCTCCGTGCAGTAGGACCGTCTTGACGTTCGTATTGACGATTGTGAGTTTGGTATTGGTTGACAGTTGTTTTGAGTTCCATATGCTTTTCAACTGTACGAATGTTCTCCTTGCATTGCCAATCCTTGCATTTACGTTTACATCAGATCCTCCACGTTCGTCAATGATGCTACACAGTTACATGAAAGATTCCACCTCTTCCAAAGTTTCTTTAATAAGTGTGATTGTGTTAATGTTCTCTGTATTGTATTTGAGGATCATGCTTCTTCCATTGTATGTGTTAATGACTACTGCTGTATGTGCTGCTACTACGTGGTTAGTCTTGATCCCCATTTGTTGATGTGTATGAGATAGAAGGATCAGGTGATCTGTGAAGTACAAACCTTTTAGTTCCATCCGACCTATCTGTTGTATTTCGTGCTATCTCTCAGATGCAGAAGTCTTCATAATCCTGTCGAGCATCAGAAAGAAGAGAAAGGAGAAGAGTAGACAGCCGCATCTCACTATGGTAACCACTTGCAATGAGTCTGTCAGTGGTCCTTCCAAATTTTGTTTAATTGCGACCGGCAATAAATCTAGAAAACCTACTGGACGATTGCGATAAATTCAGCAATATGCAACAGATAAATTCGAAAACCGGTGAATTTGATGGAAGATGGTGCATAGTCATAAATGTCTTATTCAGTTCAAGTTAATGTCTGACATGCACTAATTTCAGCGAGAATAGAACTCCTAATCACTATAACCTGTGATATTTTCAACCAAGATCAAGACTTTTGTTATCGTATTTTATTATTCTTACTAGTATCAATACACCTGTCTTAATAATACCAACTTGTACTTTTACCTATTATGTGTAGTAGTTGAGTTGGTTAATAAACATGGATTTGGCGTATCTAAGTGGCCTGTCCTCAATGATGCCTTCATTATCGAGCGCTTGTAGAACAGTGCATGCAGTTTTGCTGAAGTAAACGTTATATTCTCCTCAAGTCTTAACCTTCGAGTCACAAATTCCTCGATAGCGTCGTTTAGGAATTGTGATCGTCAGCGCAATACTTTCTTCGGAACCGTAGATATCTTCTATCTTTGCTTCATTTCACTCATATTTTTGTTGATGAGTTTCGATAGATATCCATTCTCATTAGGTAGGTCACAATGTTACTCAATTCATATACAATGGTGTCAACGGAGCAAATTATTCTAGCACGATGAGTCAGAATCTCTACCAAAATTCTTCTATATCCGATTGGTACAGCACTACAGAAACGAGTATAATGTCCAACTACAGATTTTCAATCTATCCCTCTTTTTGATGTTCCACTTACTCTTATTGTTACTTGGACATCTAGAAACGATATGTTACTCCTATGTTCTTCCTCAAATGTGAAGTAATAGATGAATGAATTTTATCAAGTATATTAAGTAAATTATCCTTCTCATAATCTTCATTGAATGCAATAAATGTATTATATATGGTGACAGTAAGATGTTGGATGGATGATTATGTCTACGGTTGGTCCGTTTCCCAGGTTTGATGGAAAGCAGCGAGCCAGGAGAGGGCTCAAAAGTGACCGGATGACTAAATCATTCAATAGTCGATGGTATTCATTGTTAGTCAGGACTTGAACATTTTCGGACATTTAAGGGCTAAATGGTTTATTGAAGATACGGAAATTAAAGTTTGTATATGGCTCTCTTTTGTTTCACTATAAAACAAATACACTGTTTCCAATAGTGGGATGTTACTGAATAAAGACAACACATCTATTTATATCATGAAGTTAATTTTGACTGACAGATATTTCTTGTTTTCCACAAATTCAAGGGAGTCCTTGATACTGCGCTTTACAATCTTTTTGTGCAACAGTTTGAGAATCCGATCTGATCGTTTCGCTATAGATTGATAGGCCAAATTATTCACATTTAAAACGGATCGAAGGGACAAGTCATTTTCATGTGTATTTGTAAGACCATATAGCCTTACATTTATCCTATCCATATTTGTCAACTTTTCGAAAACGCTGTTTATTCTGTTTTAGTCAATCTATTAGTTAGTAGATGGTAGATTATATATGAAAGATATGAATATGTTTTCAGTTTTTAAATATGATTGTCCTTTTATATTCTCAAGATATTTCGATTTGCCGAAATTGATTATGGAGAAATAAAAAACTGTAATGGATTACAATAAACATTTATGCAAGTAATACACAAACAAATTTTATTTCGGAAGATAAATCCGACCTAATGAACAGCACAATTGCAAAACTTGTAATGTTAATGTAAACCTTGCTTTGTCGTTCGAAAATTGGTACATTCATTTACCAAATTACGTGCACGAAGCGAAACAACTGAATGTACTACGAAGTAATACACAAGTCACACATTACAATAGAATGATGTCAAAAATGCCGAATTGTACATCTTATATAACTGGCTCCACAAGAGTAGTTAAATCGGTAAATAAACATGGATTTAGTTAATCTAGTTAGAGTGTCTTCAGTGGTGCTTTAGTTTTCAAGCGACTGTAGCAAACCTCATCCAATGTGGCTGAAGTAAATTTTTTCTGAACCTCATTTCTTAGCCTTTTATTTACTATTCGTTGATACAACGTCTTACAAATTCTTTGTACAATAGTTTGAGAATTAGTATTTATCATTTCTCTGTAGCTTTATAGGCTGAGTTATTCATACATAAAACATGTAGAAAGAGCAAGATTCTTGGTGGATTTGTTAACCGTTGTTGTAATATTGGTAGTAATGTGGTGGACCAAACAGTATATTAAACAAAAAGGAATAACAATAAAGTTATTACGTCCAAAAGTTAATATAACAATAAACAACTTATAAATTAGTAACGCAAAATAAAGGTTCAGGGACGTTACTTAAATCAGCTGGTTTTTGCGTGTCCCGTTGTGCTTGCTACCAAAGATCCACAATTATAGATAATTAATAATTCCAATGAGGCAAATATGGCTCTAGCCAGTTTTTTCGACGTAGAATGCAATATGAAAGTCACAACAGTCTATAAATATAGTTGATAGTTAATCAATAGTTTAGCATTATATCCACAGGCATGATAGAACGAGGCATGTGTGTATAAGAGTGTCTTAATTAATGCACAGTTAACAATGTCGTGCAATATGTAATTCAAAACGGAAGCTAGTTGTCAAGGTCACCTACTTAAACGACAAGTACAATCGTCTAGTGATAAATGTACAGATTGTGGAAATAAACAAAATAAATGCAAAAGCTATCAGAAACTATTTACAAAATAGGTTTATTAGGCCTATCTCCACGGTAATAATTATAGTTTTACTCTGTTTATTTTGAATTCACATAATATTTATTTTGTTGATGAACTTTAAATGTGAAAATACTCACCGCATAAAATTTTAATAGTTTACTTCATTTCTCCAGTTTATTTCAGGTTCATAAAGCCAACAAAAAACTAGGTGTAAATGATAATATTGTTTATCCATATTGTATAATTACGCTTGACTGAATTGAACTAGTGATAATTGAAAGTTTATTCAGTATCAAGTCATTAAAAAACTGTGAATTCCACAATAATTTCAAATGATCCGAGTTAATTATTTTTGTTATCATTTTTGTTGGCACTAAGCACATAATTTTAGTAACATATTTTCAGCGACTGGTGACACTATATAAGTAGCAGAAATTCAAAAGAACAGCTTTAATAAATATGAAGCATTTGTTATTATTTCACATAACCGCGTTGCTTCTGCTTCTACATACCTCAGTACAACTTAGTAAGTCTTCCAACATTTATTGTTATCTTTTCATGTACATACTACTTATAATATCTTCAGTGAATTGTGTCAATGTGTATGGTGCATATATTTTGTCGATTTCAAATAATGTGACTAAATGAAATTGTTGATATTTGAGTTGAGACAGATCAAATATTTGTCAATGTATTTCAGTTAACATTCACATGCCTCTAGGTATTTTTCATTGGTAATGGATGTTTAAAAGGAAGTGTTCTCTTGAAAAAGTCTAACTAGGCAGCAGATATTTCTTCGGGACCAACACACACCTAAAGTTGAGTGAATGGTTGTAAAACCTCTACTTAAATGATGTATGGGTTGTTACAAGCTTTCGAATTCTGATGATGTGTTATCTGAATTGATCTCAGTGGTTTCAAGTACAGATAGTTTTATAACATGAGAAAGGTGTGATGATCGGTATTCAATATGATGCCTAAACTTCATATGCATTTCTTCTTGATAACCGCCACTAGATTACGTCCCGAATGCGTATTAAACAGAAGGTGAATACGAAGTGCTGATTGCGTTTGTTATTGCGTCACACACAGATATCCAAATTCACAATTACACCAAGCAAGTATGAAAGAATGGTGCCGAAAAGCAAAGAGTCAAACGAGTGAGCGCACGAGTCAAATAAGCGAGTGTGTGAGCAAGCCAGTGAGTCATACATAGTGAGATGAATGAATCGTCGAATCAATTAGGCGTCTAATAGTAAGACTAGCGGAGTGAATATATGCGTGGGCAGTAAGCAATGCTCAAGTAAACATATTCATCACAAGTGTAACAATAATAAAGATAAATTGATAAAGATAATTCGTTTTTGTACGGATGACTCTGTCCGTTAAATAAGTTAACAAAAAGACTTAACCAAATTAAATGTGAACAAACTCAATCGCATGTGAGCTTTTATTAAAGGTTTAGTTGCAACAGAAGGAATTAGCTTAAATTGGAGATGAATGTTTTTGTGTAATGACTAAATTTAAAATGATACATTGATCATCGTATTGGTGTGTGAACAATATTGCGTGAACCTGTATTACGGTGTGCATCGGTTAATCATACCAGTATAGTTTATATTTTGTAAATGTTCCTTGATTTTATAAATAAACGGGAATATTCTGAACATATTATTTGATTGCCATTATTCTAAATTGTGCTCTATTACTTATTCATAAACGATCAAACGTAAAACAAAGCACAACCACTTCTCATTTCACTGTTTCACCATGTGTATTTGTTCTCACTTTCAAATAAACGTAATTATGTTCAAATTGTAGATGGTGCGAAACAAGAGTCATCCAATTCGTACGATATTATTTGCACTTTACAAAGTTTAACAGGTAACGGTGTTGTACATTCATAAATATTTCATACTCTTGGTTATCATGTGTGAATGAGCAAATTGCATACACAAGTGAGATTTAAAGATGGAAATACGAGGTTTTCCTTCTGACTGATTTCCTTCTCCAACAGTGTACCCCCATTCACTTGAAGTAATAGATAAATAAATGTCTATTCAGTGAACATAAGAAATCAACTACCAGTCGGATAATTGTGATCGTCCCTCAGTTTCATGAATTTATATATTTCTTTAACTCACAACCGACAAACATAGACCATTGTAAGAATATGTAAAGATATCTGAACTGACTGAATTCGATGGAACGCAATGAAAGATTAGAGGAATGTGTTTAGAGAGTGGGCAAGTATGGAACGACAATTCGAGTGAATTGATGAAAGGAAGATTTCAATTTAAATGTGCATATGAGTATATGAATGAATATGGCTAGGAGATAGGTAAAGAAGGAAATAGATGCAAAACTAATTTTACTGATTGAAATCATTAGTCAATTGAATCTAGACCACCATGGAAAACCTGGAAACACTGGAAGGCCGTTTCATCCTAGCATGGGACACCTCGGCAGTGCGCATCCACGATTCCGCAACCCGCGAGATTCGAACCAAGGTCGAACTTGAATTGACTCATGATTTCAATCAGTGAAATTTCTGAAATCTCTACAAAAACCATTCTGAAAAACTGATTATTAGATAGTGAGAAAGACAGACAGATAAATAGAAAGATAGGTTGACAGAGAGATAGATAGATAAATGGATACATAGATAGATAGATAGATAGATAGATAGATAGATAGATAGATAGATAGATAGATAGATAGATAGATAGATAGATAGATAGATAGATAGATAGATAGATAGATAGATAGATAGATAGATAGATAGATAGATAGATAGATAGATAGATAGATAGATAGATAGATAGATAGATAGATAGATAGATAGATAGATAGATAGATAGATAGATAGATAGATAGATAGATAGATAGATAGATAGATAGATAGATAGATAGATAGATAGATAGATAGATAGATAGATAGATAGATAGATAGATAGATAGATAGATAGATAGATAGATAGATAGATAGATAGATAGATAGATAGATAGATAGATAGATAGATAGATAGATAGATAGATAGATAGATAGATAGATAGATAGATAGATAGATAGATAGATAGATAGATAGATAGATAGATAGATAGATAGATAGATAGATAGATAGATAGATAGATAGATAGATAGATAGATAGATAGATAGATAGATAGATAGATAGATAGATAGATAGATAGATAGATAGATAGATAGATAGATAGATAGATAGATAGATAGATAGATAGATAGATAGATAGATAGATAGATAGACAGATAGATAGATAGATAGATAGATAGATAGATAGATAGATAGATAGATAGATAGATAAGTGGATAAATAGATTGATAGATGTGTAGATAGATGGTGGGTCGATAGCTTGTGTGGATTTTATGATATTTGCATTTGTGCAGTGTCCAGTTTTTATTGTTCGCATTTTTACTTCTAACCATGTTTGAATCTCTTGATAGACATTATGTATGTACATTCACCTGTTAGAACTTGCACATTTTTCATTTGAGTAATCGCTGTCTATTTCAACTGTATCTTGTGTTCAATTGTTAGATAATTTGAAGATAGATGAATTGGTTCTTTCCATATCTGACTATGAAATAGAGGAACAAATAAGTAATTTATTGACGAATTCATTCATGTTAATAACATGTTGCATTTCTCAGAATAGATATTTCATATTTATAAGCTGATTTCGATAAACATTGTATTGTAGTTGTTTGTTGATTGTACTCATCACAATATGTGGAATGCACTAGTGATTAAGATGAACAGTGAAATTCTAATGGTAGGTTGCGACGACTACCTGGACACACGTTCAGTGAATAAATCAACTTATCCCTTTCAAATTAATAAATGTGAAACAGTCAGAACATGTTAAATTAGCCATGTGATATTCAACGATATGTAGGGTTGATTTCCTTTTGACTATTTATACCTGATAGTAGTCAATGCTAACATATCATTTTTATCCTCGTTTTGTAGAGTATTTAATAAAAGAATTTGTACTAAAATCTCAGTGATGCAATGTGATACTGTTATATCTAGAGCGTAGATTCTTGCTATTCAACATACCACTTGAGCACTCGAACTCTGGTACTCTCCAAATCACAATTTAAAAAACAGAGGATGAGTGAGAAGAAATGTCACTCCAGGGTCAAATATGATAAATAAATTAATTTATTCATAATATCTCAATGAGTAGAAAATTAGATTTTATGGCATTTCGTGACTCACTGTAAGCCCATTCTTCAGAGAATAAAAAACCAGGCCATTTACTCTCTGAATAAGAGGCATACAAGTAGTCACGAAACGTCAAAAAATCTAATTTTCCCTTCAATGAGATTTTACAAATATATTTATTTATACCAACCTACCTAATGATCAATTTAGTACTAAGTGAAACCTTGGTAATAATACTTACACTGTAAAATATGGTACAAAACTCTCAAGCATTCATACTTTCAATTAAAAACGAGATCATTGTTCCAGTCTACCAATCTGCATACAATGGTGTTCAGTATTTGCCCAGTAGGGAAGCTACTTGTGTAGATTGTGGACTGGTCTTCCAAATGATGACTGGATGGAATGTCTTTGGCGCTTCCTGGACATCTTAGAGCTTCCTTCATTTTCATCCGACCATCGTCCCTATTGATAATTATACATTTACTGTTTATATTAAATTTTAGCTTCAGTTGTCGAGGAGTTATCACTTGATCGTGGAACAATCACTGAATGTATGTGTATGATATATTAGTATTTTAATAACGTTGTTGAATTGTAGATGTGAACTGCTTGAAATTAATAATGAAAGAGCAGTCAGAGTACGATTTTAAAGAAGGTGTGTGAAGATACTTGTTCCAAATATCTTGTTTCACATTCGATAAAATTATGGATTTACTTTCTATGAGCCACACGTGTGCACATTTAGTGTTTACTTACGGTACAACATAGTTTAGGAATAAAAAATTCCTTTAATGACGTACTCATTACTGTCAGGCAACATTCCCATTGTCCAACAACATTAGTCACTAGCTCGCTTTTCTCTTCAAGCCAAACTTCTAACAGAAGAAATTACTTAATATATAACGACAAATTTTCGTTGCTAACCATCACTTGTCTCCGTCAGTTTTCAACACTTTTTAGGTTAGAATATACATGTTAGAATATACACTCACCATATGAATTACCCACTACATTAACAGCCCATAGAGAATTTCCATCTTGGATCACCTTTATTGACCCTCCTCTCTGTCATCCCAAACTTCCTATTACGTAAATGCGATATCAATTATACACATTCACATATCGACTAATCAGTACAACTGTTTTAAATTGTGAACAGATGTGTAGACTATGTGAAATGAATAAATTCCTGTTGTTCCAGAATGATTGCATTACTCAGCTTACTAAAATTTATAAAATGAGAGACTTTTGTTGGGTCCACCCAATGTTTGATGGAGACGAAACTGAAATTTCACAACCACTTCAACAAATTACTTATGTGAATTATTATACAGTAGAGATGTATATACATTTCCGAAGAGCACTGTTCGTTATCATTTGATGGTTGAACGGTAACAATGTATGAGGTCAGATGTCAATTATTTTAATTTCTTTTAATTACCAGTTATCTGTCTGCTACATCTGGCAACAAATATGTAGTTAGAGTGTAAGTGTCAACATCAGAGTTGAAACAAAGGAACATCCAGTTGACGAGTCCCAAATGGGTCCGTTTACGTATCCCGGATTCTACTGTTTGATAAACTGCAAAAGTAGATGAAAATCTATTGTAGCAATTTTGGAAGTTGACAAGACAGATTCACTGGTTACTAGTTACAATCAATATTCTAAACATATACAGAATGTAGAATTTCATATTGGTTTATAACATATAAAATTGTGGTATTGATTTCCCTTGAAATTTTTTAGAGTTTCAGAGCATAATATCCGACATAAATTCATTTGGTATGTATTTGAATTACTTGAATAATTTTTATTATTGAAGACAATTATTTGATCGAATTTTGTTATATATTTCAGTTTATTTATTCCATATTCAAACTCTGTATAAACTTATTAATGGTGAATGGAATCTACTTTCAGTCTGATATATCACGATAGAGAATATGGTTTTCATAGAGAATGATATCTATGTAACTTTGTACCTGACTTTATTTGAAGTCTATTCATTAATTGGTTCCTGTATCTGTAGATATAAAGGTGTCCGAATCTTCCATTCTACAAGAGTGCCTGAACACAGAAATGACTAATTATAGAGGTAAGAGTTGGTATTCATAACTATTTAGTTATTCGTTGTAATTTAATTATACCTTTGTTTTCAAAATTAAATGACCGTTTTTGTCTATATTGCTCACGACTATTTAGAAACTTTGTGATTCTCATTTCTCGTATTTTTATATCTAAAAGCTTCATGTGAGTCCCAGATGTTCATTATTTCTGTTAGTTGAGTAGCTAAGTCTAAATCTACGTAAATGATAGATCATGAAATAAACTCGCTCTTCACCACTTTGAAATTCATAATGAGAATTGTACACGACCGGGTTGTTTATTTAAGAGATGGATAGCCTGCACAATCAATACACATATTGTACTGAAATTCCGATGACGTTGTGGCGTAAATCCAATATTTGATTATGAAACAATGAACGTAAAGTTTCATGAATACACATAACATATTCAATTTCTAGTATTCTGTGTAACATCTGACTGTACTACTTTCAGTCAGTAGTATTTCCACTAGTTAAAGTTTGAATAAGAATCAAACGACAGACAATTTCTGCGTAATTTGTATAGTGCGACTGGTCAACAGTCATTTCATCCCAAATGATAACTTGATAGTCTATCAGAGCGATGGAAAAGCATGTGGTCCCGTTTATTAACAGGATTTGTGCATGAGATATATGAACTAACGGACAATTGTGCTGTGAAGCGTCTTTATCCAAACAAATTCAAGAAAACGTTGATATTGATGTTGTGCATTAAAGGATTAATTTTAGCGGAGAAGCATAAACCCAGTGTGGGTTTGAAAACTCTGAACCTATTGCTAATTTATCAGTTGCTCATGTTCATGAATATTTCACACGACTGAATTCTGAGATAATTCTCGTTTTATTATGAATGATAAGACGTGTTACGGAAATGATTGGATTCCTTTTTAGTATGTAATGACAGGATTTGATGGTTTGATCCTGTTCGCACTTTAAAAACGTGTATTTTCATTTACATAAAAGTTAGTTGAATCTGACTGTCTGCAACTGATGACCATTTCTTTTCTACGGAACATTTTTGAGCAACATGTGCGAAATAGTGAACTTCAATATAAAATTTTCTAAATCAACAGTGTTAACAAGTAAAAGATGTGAAATACCTGAACCGAAAACTCACGAAGGTAAGCTGAAGTGAATCACACTTGATTTGTGTTACACATTGTATACCCAAGGTTTCTATCATAACGTACACATAAAACTACTTGCAACAATTAACTGTTATTTCTATTCAAGTAAATTTTACTTAAACGATAGGAACTAAACAACAGTTATTAACAGACTTCCGGTTTATTAAATTGCACGCACTACATTAATCAGGTGAATTACATTCAATCTACAAGCCTTCTCTGTATGTTTCCGAAATCTAGAAAGAAAAAACGCATTCATCCCGAAAATGGTAGACTCATAAATCTATTGATAAGTCGCACCGTTAAATGACTTACAGATTATAAGCATAAAAAGTATTCTTATTTGTTCTCAGTTATTCACAATTGTGAACATATGGTAGGCTCAGTGAAAGGATTGGAAGGAGTGAAGAAGTTTATAATCAATTAATTTTTCACGCTGACTCTACACCAGTGTGTATGCATTACGTACAAGAATGAACTAATACTCATCATGTAGTTGATTTACGTAACAATTATATAGTGTTACATTCATTTTCAAATAATATTGAGTAACTGGAAGGAATAGATGTCAAAAATCTGTGTAATTATTCCAAAAATTAAACAATTGCTACAATGAAAGAGCTAACAAATTCATTTTATGAAATGCCAGTGTTAGAGTAGCTATGTAAGCATCAAAAACGGACGATGAGAATACGTGGAAAAAATCTGAAAGAGGTTAGAAAATCGTTTAAATCTTTTTAAAAGAAAAGATTTGATCAAAGCGCACCTAAGAACACACTCTTATACCACTATCCAAGGTACGGAGTGTGATTGTGAAAACATCTTTTGGATGGAAATGTCTGGTTTGTGAACATTTCTTACCTACTTACTTACTCCTGGTACACCTGATGGAGGAGAATAAATCACTTACCAGTGTTCTACATAAAACTTTGTTCTAAGAAATCCTTTACAACACTTTCCAGTTCTTATTCATTGTTTTCATGTATAATTCCAATTCCCGATATCTAATTATATCAGGTAGTTAAATTTTTACCGATAAAGTTTTCATGTTATCAACAAGTTCAAAGGAGTTCTTGATATCAACCATCACAATTCCTTTGTTCAACGGTTTGACAATTAGAACTGATCATTTTGTCGTAGAATGATAGGCTGAATTATTCATATCTAAACTGTATCAAAGTGGCAAGTCACTTTCATGTGTATTTGTCAAACCATATAGCCTTATTTTTCGAAAAGGTTTTCGAGAATAAGACGTTGTTTAATCTGTTTTATTAGTTGTTAGATGATAGATTATAAGTTGAAGATATGAGTATGTTTTCAGTTTTCATATATGATTATCCCTTCATATTTTCCAGAAATTTCCCAGTTACTTACATTAGTTTTCAAAAGATACGAAATTGTAACGAATTACAATAAACATTTACGTAAGTATTATTCAAACATAGTTTATTAGCAAAACGTGTAATATTCATGTAAATTTTGCATTGTTATTCAAAATTTGTGCATTCGCTCACAAAATAACCCACCCAAAATGAAACACCTGAATGTACTACTCAATAATACACATGTCACATTTTGGAACTGAATGCATCATAAAATATTTCACAAAATTATTTGGTGAAATTCAATCATTTATTCCATCGCAAAATGAATTAATCAGTGTTTGTTTGCAAACATTTCAGTGAAACATCGTCTTCTAACAAATATTGTCAATGAAGTTAATCGTCGAAACACAAAAGTGTGAATTGTGAGTCAATTAAATTTGTTTCATCGACTAAATACTTTCGTGTAATTATCCGTGATATATTGTATGGAAAATGAATCCACTAATGATTTTGATTGATGCAAGTGTATAGCGGAACGATGTAAAACGGATACTCTTCACTTGAAGTCTTTACGTTAACAAAGAGAAACCTCAAACCACTTCGTATGGATGTATCTCTGTTAAACAAAAGTCGATCCTATTTGCGACTATCAGCATATTCGGTTGACGTCTCATCGTGAATATCAACAGATACATCCTGATAACCAGTCCTAAATAGGATGGAAGTCACATCCTCAATTCCATTATAAGCCACAATCCAAATAAGTGTCCATTAGCTTCGAATAATCACTAGAAGATATCAACTGAACAGTAAATACATTCAAGGATAATACTAGAATGCAATAAAGTGAAAAGCTCGGTTGTTACACTTTGAAATCCGATAATTTACAATTAATTTTATTTCAGTTTTACTCAGTTCATGAATAAATTGAATTGTGTTAATTTGAGTTGAAACGATAAATAATATAACTTATCGGTTATTGATTACACGAATCAGATACCACTTTATAACTGTGATTCTTTCGCATGATTCTAATAAATTTACATGCATGATTTTATTTAGTCTAGATGATGCTCGAAAGTTGTCGAAGTCACGTTTCAAAATGATGATGATAATCATTGTGAATTATTTGGTTAATTTCGTTTGGAAATCCTCACGATAACTGATTTAACAAGTGTTCTATTGCTCTTCTTCTTCTTCTTCTTTTTGAGTCGTTCTAATGTTGATATGTTGCACTTACAAGCAAGTAAAATTTCGAGAATACTGCAACACATACTGTAACCTTATTTTGATGCACTCGATTAACAAGCACATTATTATGCAATCATTTGCTTACTCTTCAATAATCCACTTTATTTGTTAAATTATCACAATTGTGCTTTGACACCTTGCTTGAATGAATATAAATTTTTCTGTCGTTTCCAGTTTGTTATTTTTCGAGACACTCTGTGATCATCATTGTTAATAATAGGAGTTTTAGAATTTCCAGGAATCATTTACGAGTTGCGATCAAGCTATTTCCATATGCCAGATCGCGTTCAAAAATTATGTTACCAGAGTAAATAGTAATTAAGTACACAGAAAATTTTATTGACTTCCATGTTCCAAATGCATATTCATCACTTAACAATATAGTCATGGAACTACTCAGTGTAGCAATATATTCATGAATTTGATACATATACGACTGTATGGATTTCGCTAATCACTTCTTTTATTCAGCATAACTTGATACACTGCATCTGATTATCTACAGTAAAAGTTGATATTCTATGTAGTTGAGTGCGGTCATGCACGTTCATATTGAACAGATATTGCAAACACTTGTGACAATTTCGATTATGACTGTTGGGTAAATGGAAGCCAGGTTAGCGTTCTCGGACAGTAAAATAAACTAATGTAATTCGATAACTTTTTACAGATTTGCGTGATTACTAATCACCAACACACCTTGCATGAGTGGTGAGAATAACACTGGGCTGCACAAATTATTAGAATTGAATTGTAGCTCAAGCAGAGTAATAGAAAGTCAAGTGCTATGGCAACTTGATCAATAGTCTTTCAATCACTGATCAACCGTTTAAACGCTCAATCGATTTCGCTTTTAAGTATTATTATAAATTATAAACAGCAACAGCGATGTAAGACTTGACGATCTTTTGCTTGGTTAGTAAATTTCTGAAAATTCTAACATTCGCTCGTAGAATCCACTTCCCTGAATGCGATGTTTACTTCCAAACGGTGGTTTCTAATGTTGTTCTCAATCTTGTTAAATAAATAGACCATGACTGACTTCTGACTGTAAAAAGGTAATTGAAATTGGAACGGTTGCTTAAAAATGGACGAAAACCCACGTAAGATAATATCGAATGGGGAGTCCAATAAGTTTATATTAATTTGCAATGATACACAATTATCTATCCAGTGAATTGAATAAATAGAGGTACAGTAGAGCGCGAATTAGTGGGTCTAACGAAGCAACTCGTGATTCGCCAAGACATAAACTGCGAGTGAGCAAATGTGAAAAACAAGTGAATGGACGGAAATTGTAATTAATAAGAGATATGTTCCATTGAATAGAAATAACGACGATTTAGTGACGAAAAGTTTCTTTTCAACGAGATCGTTTACTTAAGCTGTGCATTCAGACTACCGAAGTAAATTGGGGTTAGGAAGAATGAGACGTCGGATGCCTCGTATTTGCACGCACAATTTTGTCTCGAGTTGCTGGGTCACCAAATTTCTGAACATTGAACAAATTTTTCTTTCGTTTCTCATTTGATCCAGTTTCTTTGATTGTGTGGATTATTTTGGAGGAGGACGTCTATAGAGAGACGTGACCTGAGTGGTCCTGTATTGAACTGGTGACAGATTTCCATTGTCCTTTCAAAAGCCAGTCGGGTAATGTTCTGAAATGCGTTTGGAAAGTGATCACATAGTACAGTCATTGCAACCTGTCGCATAGTAGGTAGTAAATATATAAATGCACATCGATGTGAATGGTATGCCTGTTAGAGAAGATAATATAGAGCTAAGCTCAACTGATGGATGGAAATGTTCATAGAGGTCATAGTTGATAGCAAACACATTTTTCATCTTTTCATTTGATAACGCTAAGGCTAGTTTAGTAACATAATCATGACCATCCATAAGGAAGATTCCCGTGACAGCGCTAAATCCTGATTTTCCAGAAGGCCAACTAATCGAGATTAATGTGCTTTGTGGCCAATCACCATTAGGAAACTGCAAAGTGCTCGTGAGAACATCCTCGTGTCCTTTTCCCCAACTAAACTCTTCACCAAAAACTAAGTCTAAAAGTGGAGATAATGCTTTCTTAAAGTAAGGAATAAACCCGAACTAAAACTAACAGCACCTGAATTAATGCAGCTAGACGACTCATATCATATTTAAAACCATAAGCATCCACATAGCAGTCGGGGAAGTCGATAAAGTGAAGTGGGGACTAGCACTTTTAAGGATTTCCGGCCACGTTTGTGTCACAATAGCGTATCAGTAACTTTAAAACATGTTCACTATGCAACTCAGTATTTTCAGCATGAAAAGCAATATCATCCTGATACGTTTCAACACCATGAAGACTGATGATAATCTGATTTTTGTCTATTTGTACCAAAGTCTGTTGGGTGAATTTTCATACGTTTCACGACACTCGATCATCAAATTGGTACACAAATAAATGCGTACGTCCGACAATCATAGACCATTGAACCCAAGCACAGATGGGCGATAATCACTAACTAAGAGAAGTATATTGACACAACCACCTTCTTCCTTCAATGGAAGATTAGCCCAACCAATAATGAGTAACTGGTGGTTGATGATACCAGTGATTTCCCTACTAGTACGTTTGGAATGGATATCGTTGTAAAGAAACTGTAAACTTAACTTGGGAATGGTCAACTCTATGCTACCAGTATCAACAATACATGAGCGAAACCTGTCTGTTTTGACAATTACGAAGATGTAGTTTACCAAAAGAAAGACATTTAATACCCAAAGGTAAATTACAAGTGTTTTTCGAGTTAATCACCTGTCTCAATCAATTGAAACTGCTCTTGTTAGAAATCTGAGGTTTCTACAGTATGGAAATCTATTCACATTCGTAACGGTATCACGAATGTCATCGATAATAACTTCACAAACAAAACAGAAGTCTTAAGCTATCTGGAAAGTGTAGGAAGGGATTCATTTTAGCTGTTCCTTCTAGTTTGGAGTCGTTGCTAATGGCAATCGGGAGGTCGAAATGTTGAATGTGTAACTATTCAATGAAATTGCACTTAGTACCTCGTGTCTGAAGCCGTATTACGTAGTGTAGAATAGTGTGATTTGAAGATTGCTCTAATTTGTTGAACTGTGCTTTTTGTGTGTTTCGGATGATGTTGCGCGAAAATGACCTGTTAGTAACCTGTTCAGTGCTTTGCACCTGGAAAGAATAGGTTTGTCAGGATATTCAAAGTTCTTTAACAAACGATAGATTTCTCTATCAAACGCATTAACAAAATGAACTGAGACGCTATCCTCCTTGAAATTATGTAACAAACACCGAGCATGAAGACAGTCAAAATAATCTTGCACTTCACGGGGTGACGCGTTGATAGGAAACTTCCTCAAGTTACTTGAATCCATTTGAATTGTGATGCGAGATGTGAATTTGAAATAATATAACGTAATAATGCTAGTCCTAGTAAGTCTAGAACTTCGATGAGACACAATCGCGTTATAAACATTCCATAAGGAGTTACTGCATTTAGCCTAGGGACACTTACAAATATATAGCAAAAGGAGCCGGAAAACATATACATGTTAAGTAAAAAAATCATTAAGTAAAATAGTTGAACTCGCCTGGGTTATTTTTGAAAATTAGATTATTCAGTGGACGACATATATAACGCCATTCGTGAGGAGTAGTAATGATCCAAAAGTATCCAGAATAAAACATGCAGTATGGCAATTAATCCCAGGGTGCTTGATGCTGTTGACGTTTTTGCCACTCGCTCGGATCAGAACAATCAAATGAATCCAGGTAATTGTGTGGTTGCCATTGAACGAGTCATCTAAAATGACCTTATGATTGCAGAAAACTTATGGCTGAAACTCACCGTATGTTTTTAGAGAAGTGCCATCCTTGTTGTTAGGCAATGGAACTCGAAACTTTGAAATTAGGGCAGGCAGTGGTCGGAAGAAAAGATATTACAGGATAGTGCATAGTTTAAAACAGGATGGGGTGATAAGATAAGGAACACTGAATATTAGATCCATGTAACTATTTTGTCCTTGCTGCATTGTTAGTCAATGTATATTTGCGTTATTTACGGGTCATATTTACTAGAGCTTGATGCTTAAACAAGTCTATGTCGCTGAAGCATGTAAATTCTATTAAAGCTTGTTAACGAACCATCAA